CCTTCCAGGCCACGCCCCGCGTCACCCCCGCCCCCTCGCTGCCCTGGCTCCACCCACTGGGACCCCTTAACTCTGGTCCCGCCCTTTTTTGATACAAGTCTGAGCGGTCCTTCTCTTCCTTCCCAGCCCTCTGGAGCAGTCAAGGTCCCATCCTGTATTTCAGGCCGAGCTTCCCTTACGGCCACGTTCCGCTTTGGTTACTGCTCCCAGCCAGGCTGTACCTAAGTCTGCAGTCCCAGCTTCCCTCCAGCCTGGGCCTCTCTTGCATCTCAGCTGGTGCCTCCCACTGTTGTCCACCACTAGCATTCTTTTCACTCCCAATCTCTTCCTTCCTTCTTGCCCCTCCGTGATCCCCTATTTCGCCTCTTCATCCCTTAAAAGTTATCGCTTTTCCATAGAGAAAATGGACTTCAGAAAGTCCTTTTATTCTTCTCATAGGGAGAAGGAAATGAAAAGCAACATTAAAGGGAGAGACACCTAAGGAAGTCAAAGAGCAAAATAGGCTTGGGGTGTAACAGTGTTAGAGCTCCTGCTTAGCACGTGAGAGGCCCTGAGTTTAATCCCCAGTACAAAAAAAAAGTTTGGCTAATATTTAGTGAAGTTTATGTGCCAGGTACTGCACTGAACATTTTATACGGGTTATTTCATTCCTTCACCCTATGAAGATACTCTTCCACTATTTTATGAAGGAGGAAACTTCAGTCCAGAGAGGCCAAACAGCTTGCCCAAAGCTATATAGATAACAAGTGCTATCTACAAAGTCTAGATTCCAGAACTCCGAGCCCTTATCCTATAAACTACTTTGACTTTTGGTTCCCACACTGAACAATGAAGTCTGTGTGAATCTGTATGAGCAAATAGGGAAGCCATATCCCAGATACCTTCAAAAGACTGAACAATTGTTCCTAGAGTGCCCGAGAACCCTGAACTCTGAAAAAACTAATACAAAATTGTCACAGGTTAACTACGATGGGAGATGGAGGGTTGGAAGTAACTAAACCTCTACCTATCATCTGAGGACTGATAGAATAAGTTGTAACTAGAAAGGAGTGTTTATACCAGAATTAAGAGTTGGGGAGTGGGCCCCAACATCCCAAGTAGGATAAAGATCTAAGTTCAGTGCTTCTCTAACACTGATCAGCTCACATACTAGCTTTATGAAGCTCACATGAAGGGAAACTATGCATTTTCTGGGTCTGGGCAGAGAGATTCTAATTTCAGGAGAAGGTAGAGCCCATGAATTTGCATTTCCTTCCTTCCTTTTCTTCTTCCCTTTTTTCTGGTGGGGTGTGCTGGTTTGAGCATTGAACCCAGAGCCTCCTGCATTGAAAGCAAGCACTCTATGGCTGAGCCCTGAATCTCTCCTTTCTAACAGATTCATAGGTGATGCTACTGCTGCTGGTATGAAAATCACTACTGAAGCCATTTTCACCTAAACCTGCTAATAGTTCCATGATAACTACGTTATATTAGAGATAAATTTTAAAAGGAGGTATACTTCTTGAGTCCCAAGGGAATTTAAACCAGAACCCCTAGGAACACGGAACATGCCAACTTGCATGCAGAAACCAGCGCACAATGATTGTGGTGTGAGACCCTATTAAAATTTCTTTTTCTCCTAAAGTGCACCTTTACTAGCTCTCACCCTTTTGACTGTTAGAAAACATTGTTGATGAAATGTGATGACAAAAAAGACCTCCCAAAAAACAAAAACAACAAAAAGCCTTGATGTACCTTTCACTTTGGCTAAGTGTAGTATAATCAATAAACTCCATGCTGGGGATATAGCTCAATGGTTCCGCCGCCTGCTTCACAAGTGCAAGGTCCTGAGTTTGATCTCCGGTACAAAAAAAAAGAAAAAAAAAAAAAAAAAAGCTGCTAGAACCCTGTCGGTATGCAAAGTCATGATTAGGATCTCCTTAACCATCTCAGGTCCCAAACCAGCTCCTTTCCCCACTTGTCCAACAGAAAAACCTCACTTCACCCCATTGTCACTACCAACATAACAAGTCCAAACAAGATTGTCTTCATTCAGATACTTGAAAGGGACTAATGATTAGTACTATTTTCTTTGGCTGTAGGTTTTGTTCCCTAAGAATGTTTGTATTATTTTGGTAATCCTCCTGACAAGGAATCCTATTATTATATTGAACATGGAGCTACCCTTTTTTTCTACTCTCTGTACCTTTACAGTAATGTTTATTCCAATCCTTGAAAGGTATAGTAAAGGGTTCTTCAAACAATAATCTCAGTCCCTAAGTATTGAGGTATGTGGCATATACTCAACTGATAACCACTGGCATTCAGACTTTGTTGTATAAAGTTAGTGCCTATGTTGTGTACCACAAGGACAGGTTACAAAAGCCAATAGTCATATACCAAGAGTTGCTAAACTCAAGCCAAGATGGGGTATTTTATAAGTTTCCTGGGTTACTCATTCAGTGAACAGGGATTTGTAAATGACTTCAGCTTGGGGTGAAGATAAGAGCAGAAGTAGTGCACAGAGAAAACCCAGGAACATCATACATTGACACTGGCAAATTTAATAAGAGACTCAAAAAGCATACCTATGTCCAAGGAAATTACATTTCCACCCTACTCTTAAAACAAAGATTTAACATTGGAGCAGTTGCTTCTACAAAAGGAATCGACCAAAATACCTCTGCCCAAAGTGGAAAACCCATCCATTTTCAACAGAGGAATTTGGAAATTCTATTTAGCATGTTAGGCATAATTGTAAGGTGAATTATTAAATGTTGAATATGGTAATAAAAATCACCACTGAATTTGAATTGTTAAAACAAACAGCTCAGTTTGAATGCACACACTAATTCTCTTGCCAAGCAGCTTACAATTTTCCAAAAATTTTTTTTCTTCAGGGAGAATGAAAAGTCCAAATTCGGCCCAACATCACCACCTAGTGGTGGGATATGTTTGTAGTACTTTTTCTCCGCACTACAACACAGACAGACCCCTTCGATTTTTCTTACGAAACTGCTAAAGTAAAGCACATCTGCCAGGCGTGGTGCTGCATGCCTGTAATCCCAGCACTTGGGAGGCTGAGGCAGGAGGATTGCTGTGAGTTCGAGACCAGCCTGGGCTACATAGTAAGTTCCAGGTCAGTCTCAACTACATAGTGAGACCCTGTCTCAAAAAAACAAAACAAAACAAAACAAAAATAATAATAAAATAAAAATAAAGTAAAACAGATCAGGACAGTTTCTACTGATGAGTATATAGAAAAGGAGCACCAACAAATTCAATTGTAAATTAAAATCTTTATTGAATAAAAATGTCCCCGACTAAGCAAGACAGTAAGAAAACAATATTTTACATCTCTAAAAAAATCTCAAAGCTAAATCTCTATAAATGCAGTATAAAGAAAAGGCTGTATCTTGAAACACCTCTTCCTCCCCTACATACAATTTGGAATATCAATTATGTACAACAAATGTACTCAAGCTAACTCTTAATACTAAAGAAAACCATCCCAATAAAAAGGCCTATTGCTGGTTTGATTTCACTCTGGGAATACAATCTGCCATAAAAATCAATACACTTCAGAGCTGATATGTATTTAAAAATTAGTGTCTCAAAAAGGGGATATCAGAAGTAAAACATAGGTTTGGAGATCTGAGCTTAAGTGAGTTAAGGCAGTTCTTCTGTTACTCTTCCTTTGAACTCACTATGCTCTAACATGGAGCATGGTAAATAAAGATCCAAAGGTCTTACAAAAATATTGCAACCTACAGTAAATCGTGAGAAGCACAGATACCACAAAAGAGAAAGTGATCACTTGGGGTACAAACTTATTGGCAAATACCATAGCTTATTCGGGAGACAGTGGATCTCCCCAGGCACCAAAGCTGGTAGGTTGGTTCTTCAATCGTCTCAAAAGGTTCTGTGAAAGGGTGGCTATGTTATACCCTCAGTAATTCAAGAGTAGTATGCAAAGCGATAAACTTCCTATAAAATCAAAAGTAAGAAAATTAACCTTAAAAATCCTAAAAGACTAATCTCTTAACAGTTTAATACTAAAAAACTAAGTTGGTATTCCTTAAAAAATATACAAACTGTGCCCTTTATACTAAAGTGCATTCAGTCATAAGGTTTAGACACTTAAATCCTTTCTGTATGTTCTCTCATTTCCACAATAGTGTCTACAGTGTAAAAATGTACTACTCATCATCTACCTACTTTAGTATTATCTTTTGGGAATATAGTGGAATCTGGATTATGTCAGTTGGAATATCTCTCTGCTTACAAGCACCTGTGCATATCATCATGGCTACGATGGAAGATTTAAGTATGTCATCTTTAGCACTTAGAACTGGTTTTACTGCATATGGTTTTTTTGTTTTGTTGTCTGGTAGCAGGAATTCTTTTCCAAAGTTGTTTCCACAAAAAGGACAATTCATGTCAGGATTGCTGTTTCTTCATTACTTTGCTAAAGGTCAGTGGCTTGCTAACACTAAGATAAATGTAAGGCCCAGCACTCTTGCAGTTTGTCATTCTTCATCCTCATCCTCATCATAGTACCGATTTCTCTTTATTTGTTCTTCTACAGACAGCTCTTTGACTTCTTCTTCCTCCCAGAATCCCACATCCTGGGATTTCTGATTCTGAGTAGTGTATTCTTTAGGGGAGCTGTTATCTGCAAAGCTGGACCAATTTGGAGACTTGGGTTCTACTGGAGATTGCTCTTTGAGGAGGTTGCTATAATCATCATCTAGGTTTGCACCATTTTCTACGAGATTCTCACTCCCTATCTCAAAGCTGTGCGTTTCTTTACCACTTGTCCCTGCCTCTCCTCTTTTAGGCACCTTATTTTGCCAGGTCATTTTTTCCACGCTCCCATTCTTCTCAGGAACCATGGCATTTTCCACTTGTTCCCTTTCTGCTACTATCCCTCCTGCAAACTCCTCATTCTGGTCTGACATGCTCCAACCTTTCCTGATAGGTGGAGACAAATTTTGGGGGCTCTTGACAGAAGAGGTTCGAAATGAAGCTGCAACAGTAAAGGGGCGGCTTCTTTCCTTCAGTGAGGAAGATCGTCTTAGCTTTTTCAGATCCAGATCTACATCCTCAGGAGCTTCCGGCTTGCTGACTTCATCCTCAGGTGGCCATTTGGGTTTAGATACTTTGATTCCTTCCTCCAAGGTACTTCCTGCATTGCTAAATTCAGTCGGGGGAGGCCAGGCGATCTTTAGCTTCTTGGTTTCAGCTGGCTTGTCTTCCTTTTCTGGCTGAGAGGAGGCCTTGGCTTCCATACTTGCAGCCAGCACACCTACCTTGGCAATGGGTGCATCTTCCACCCCTGGGCTCTGAGGCATCTCCCCCTCACTTGGGATTTGGGCTGGTCTCTCCAAGGTCTCATTTTCATTTTTGCTTGCCCACAGATCCTTGTGTGGTCTGTGCCCAAAACCTTCATCATAGTTGCCTTTAGATTTAAAGAGTTGATTGAAGTGAGGCTTACAATAGATTCTTCCATGTAAAGATGCATATGTTCCTAGGCTGCCATCAAAAGAAAAAGAACAAAGTTAGCAAGGTTTTTTTGTTGTTTTTTTTTTCCGATACCAGGGATTGAACTCGGAACCTTGTGCTTGCAAGGCAGGCAGCAGAACCACTGAGCTAAATCCCTGGCCTTTGCAATCCATATTATTTAAACTTCAGTCCTAACATGCAAACAAACATATCAATGTATCAAGATATTCCAAATATCACTAGCATTTGACATGAAAGACCTGTCACTAAATAGTGTTTTCTACCTTTTCAAGTGCTCCCAAGGCAGCATCATTAGCACAACTGCTTTTAGCATGAGTGCCATAAAAGCCAAAGATTTCTTCAGAGCTCCAAGTATATAGAAATGGCTTGTTTGGGTCTGGCTCACCTAAGTTTGCTGTTGCAGTAGGAGCAACGGAAGCAGCTGATATGAAACACCTGTTGGTTGGCCAGGAGACGCTCCATGGGGTAGACTGTCTTCCGACATTCGACACAGGTCTCTCTTATAGGTGCTTGAAACTTCTAGGAAAAGGAAAGGGAAAAGGACAAGTTTAACTAATGTAGGCCGTGATGGGCTAATACTCTGCTAAGATGGGGCCCAGGATTCATGTTATCTAAGGGCTCCCTTAGCTGGCCTGTCAATTCTCATAGGAACACTAAACATGCACTCTGTCAGCTGACTATTTCAAGGCAAGAGGTTCTACGGTATTTCCTTCGCAAACTGTCTGGCGGTCCTAATGTTACAGCCACTGAGGAGAGGTGGACTTGGGCTACACTGTGGAGAAAGGTGTGGACAAAGTAAGTGCACACAAAGTAAGATTTGTATACAACAATACCATTGAAGCCTGTTCAAATCACAACTCATTAATGTAAAAGTGACAGGACAAAAGTATTTGTCAGATTTAATTTTTTTTTTTCAGTTGCAAAGAAGAGGGCATTCTGTATTTTTAAC